TATATATATATATATATATATATATACACAGTCCGAGTTCCAGGATGCAAACTCGCAGTTGCAAGGAAAAAAGGCAGAATTGTGAAATTTAAAGTTGCTTTTTTAAATTTTTATATCCCCTCGTTAACATTATCAATCTCAATCCTTCCGCAGGGGCCGTTTGGATGGACCCTTCACTGGCGCCAGTGTTTTGCTGAAACGAGTTATTAGCGGCACACAGGAGCCTCTCTGAGGCCGATAACAGCGCAGGATGTCCATCACAAACACACCCACCAGTAACGACGCCTGTCTGAGCATCGTGCACAGTCTGATGTGCCACAGACAGGGCGGCGAGAGCGAGACCTTCGCCAAACGGGCCATTGAGAGTCTGGTGAAGAAACTGAAGGAGAAGAAAGACGAGCTGGATTCGCTCATCACCGCCATCACCACCAACGGCGCTCATCCCAGCAAATGTGTGACCATACAGAGAACGCTAGACGGCAGGCTGCAGGTGCGACAGGACTGCTTCCACGCTCTTTAGATTGTATCTGTGTGTGTGTGTGTGTGTGTGTTATGTAGGAGGTGTGCAATATATATTGTAGTAGTTGTTTTAACGATGTGCGATTTGACATTATCGAGTATGTTGCAAAAACCAAACAAAACACCTACAGAGTGCATGCATGCATACATTACGTGATGAAGTCTAGTAGTTCAGACTAGTGCGCATGTGAATTTAGAGTGCGTTCTTTCACGGCATGATTCAGTCTATTAAAATGCATTTAGAATGATCACAAAAATCAAGATATGGAGGCAGAAATATTTATATCAGTTCATATAGTTAATCAATATCGCACGAAGAGTGCCGTTTTTTTTATCCAAACATCAGCACGATTACAAATGTGATACTGATTTTATACAACAGTTCAATAAACAAGAATACTTGCGTTTTAGACGCCATATTGCCTGTTTTTGTGCTATTTCGACAACAAAAATAATTCCAAACACAGCCAGAGCACTGTGTTTCGTTCCTGAATTAATCAACTGTTTAAATGATTCGTTTCAATCGCAATGACTCGCTTATGAACTGTGACTTGCTGCCACCTACTGGCGGTTTTAATTAATTTCAAATATCAGTATTCAGAGTTTTATGTTTAATATATCAAAACATTATTTATGCATGTGTAACTGCAGGTTAAATGCATTCATGTCCTGCATTAAACAGTGTGTAAACACATCTAAACACCTCTTCAGATGCAGCTTCAGTGTTTCCTCTGCATTGCAAAGATTAATTTTATTGATACTGATTTAATTTGCACAGTAACAGCCCAGATGTCTTATTATTCTAATTGAATGATTAAATGTAAGAATTTGACTCAAAAGATGATGCACACTTTTAGAAAAAATGGCTTTATAAAGGTAAAAATGCCCATAAAAGGTAAAAATCAATTTAAACTTATTGGAAAAGATTAATTTCTATCACTGCTGTGAACTGACCATCACACAGAATATGAAGAATATCAAAAACTTTAGGAGTCCGCTGTCCACAGTAGTCCTTAAGATATCAAAATATTGTCCTATTATCGTTTTCCATAAAATCTCAGAATATATCGAGATATCATTTTGTGTCAATATCGCACACCCCTACTGGTATGTCATTCTAAATGGCTGTTCCTGTAACGCTCTTCTACCTTCAGGTGGCTGGTCGTAAAGGATTCCCACATGTAATTTATGCACGGTTATGGCGATGGCCGGACCTTCACAAGAACGAGTTGAAACAAGTCAAGTACTGCCAGTTTGCCTTTGACCTGAAGTGTGACAGCGTGTGTGTGAACCCTTACCATTACGAGAGAGTCGTGTCTCCAGGAATCGGTTCGTTTCATGTTTGTTTTAATAGCGTAAAGCTCATTCATTATGGCCTCGATTTAATTCAACTATCCTGTGTTGTCTTCTAGATTTATCTGGACTTACACTGTCTGGCTCTGGTGAGTGATACTCTATGGAAAAAAAGTGTCCTTGTCCTTGTTGAAGAGATCAATCCAAATTAAAAGGGATAATTCACCCAAAACTGAAAATGTACTGTTCCTCATGTTGTTCCAAACCTGTACGAGTTTCTCTCTTTTGTGAAACATAAAATAAGTTATTTTAACAGGTGATGGTCACTATGGACTTCCATAGTAGTTTTTTCCATACTATGGGAGCCAATGGGGACAAACAACTGTATCTATGAATATCTATAAAGTCATACATGTTTGGAGAGAAAATGATGACAGAATTTTTATTTTTGGGTGAACTGTCCCTTTAAGGACACAGGCTGTAGCAAATGTGTTAGTCTGCTGTCACTTTAAGACCCAATATTATAAATTATTATGTTATAAAACATATGTTATGTTGTAGATATAATACACATCTCTTATGTATTTAAAACGCTTTTTAATTTATATACAAATACATGTGCAAACACACACACACACACACACACACACACACACACAAATATATAGCAGGTTTATTAGGCTGCTGTCACTCTAAGACCCAATATTATATACCCGCACACACACGAGTCTCGACCCGGCCATCAAGTGTTGTCCCGTGCCACGCTCGGTTGCATTGGGTCCCGCGATCGTGCAGGTCTCTATTCGGACGGAGCCTGTTATAATGTTATTATCGAGGCTCTGGACTCTGAGCAGAACTTGTTTTTCTGTAACAAACTATAAAATATTTTCTATGAAAATGTTAATGCCCTGGCAGTGGCAAATAGCTTTGGTTTTATGTTTAATTTGATTACATTAATGTTATAAGTTGAGATTTACAAGAAATATTTTAACTGCTACTAGTGATTCTGCTATGAGCTTAAGACTGTGTACACACACAACACACACTCCTGCTCGCTTTCTTCTGCAGCCCGCGTGTCGCACAGTGCCACGCTTTTTAATTTATATACAAATACATGTGCAAACACACACACACACACACAAATATAGCAGAATATAGCAGGTTTATTAGGCTGCTGTCACTCTAAGACCCAATATTATATACCCGCACACACACGAGTCTCGACCCGGCCATCAAGTGTTGTCCCGTGCCGCGCTCGGTTGCATTGGGTCCCGCGATCGTGCAGGTCTCTATTCGGACGGAGCCTGTTATAATGTTATTATCGAGGCTCTGGACTCTGAGCAGAACTTGTTTTTCTGTAACAAACTATAAAATATTTTCTATGAAAATGTTAATGCCCTGGCAGTGGCAAATAGCTTTGGTTTTATGTTTAATTTGATTACATTAATGTTATAAGTTGAGATTTACAAGAAATATTTTAACTGCTACTATATAAAAGGAATACTGCTGTAAAAAAGCACCTTATTTGTTTAAAGTGTTTGCAAACCAAATATTATTGCACTTTTGTTCATATAGCAGTACTTTTAAATGAAAAAAGTGCACAATATACTACTTTTGAATTCATTATTGAATTTTGTGCGTAACAATGCGATTAATTGCAATAGATTTTTTTTTTATTTAACCACTGTGTTTTTAATTTACCCAATTTTATTGAGACAAACAACTAATTTTTTCTTGTTTTAACAGTCAAACACAAAATAAAATGTAAACAAATATCTAATTTCTTATGTTTTATATGCAGATTAAATAGGTCTTAAGGAAACTTTTGGCTCGTCTCCCAAGGCCACAGTGCAGCGTATTAAATTGTCAATGCAATGAAATAACTGTCCATAAAAAAACGTGCATGCCGTCTAAATTAACATATATAAATCAAATACAATTTCATAAACAATTGACAAAACGGCATCATGTATTTATGCATTGCATAAATAAAAAAAAGCGCTGAAACGCCGATCACACAGACTGCATTTAAAAACATAAGAGACGCAATGAAAAGGAATAAACCTCCACAAATTCGCGATGTGTTTTCTAAACGTTTAAACTGTTTTAACTTTGCATGGTTTTCTATACATCTCTTGTGCGAGACGTGAGTGCAGCAGTCGTATTTGTCAGTCTAAAAAATGCGCCGAATTTGCGTTCTGTGTGAATGGCTTGGTTTCAGTTTGAGCCTAATCAAGATCTTCTAAGCATCGAGCTACTATATTTCTCTAATATTTTGAATGTCAATACTCACTAAAACGGACATTTCGACATCATTTTGTGTGCATTTGTCCATTCAAGTGCAATAAGATGTGAAAGAGAACTCAAGTCTTGTTTTTATATGTTCATAAAGGTATATTGACATAACGGTCAATTGATATTTGTCATAAATTGTCATTCAAAATGTTTTGTTTATTGTCTGTGAAAAATGTTGTTGATAAACTGTGAAGTTAATACTGTTGTGAATTCTGTTGTGAATCATAAAAGTGTAATAACTTGCTTCACCTCTGAAATGACCATCAGCAACCTTTTTTAGCATCCAATCGAGCATGACACATTATGGAAGTAAACTGTTTTTCAGATGTTGGCGTGATGTAATGCGTGTTTATATAATTGTTTTCAGGTCTGATGGTGAAGGATGAGTATGATTTTGAAGGCCAGCAGTCTCTGCCCAGCACTGAGGGACACATGCAGACGATTCAACACCCTCCTTCTCGACCGGTGGCCCCGGAGCCCTTCAACACGCCCGCCATGCTCCCGCCAGTAGAGGGCAGCAGCTCGGCCTCCATCTCCGCATTCTCCAGCATCGCAGTGGGATCCACAAGTACGACACGTCACAGTTGCTCGCTCATATCCTTAAGCGCATAGGCCATGCTGAAAAGCTTTCTCGTTTGTGGAGGTGTCTCATTCTTCATTGGTGTGCAACAAGGCTGGGTGCTGTGACCGTAGACATTCTGCTATAGCGTTTATACTGTTACGTTATTTACACATGAGAACGACAGAAACATAAACGAATGCGAAAATACAGAGTGGGACATGTTGAGCAATTTTATGAAATTGAGATTTAAAAATAAATAATCTTTCCATTGATGTATGGTTTGTTAGGATCGGACAATATTTGGCTGAGATACAACTATTTGAAAATCTGGAATCGAGGGGGCAAAAAAATCTAAATATTGAGAAAATCATCTTTAAAGTTGTTCAAATGAAGTTCTTAGCAATGCATATTACTAATCAAACATTAAGTTTTGATATATTTACGGTAGGAGATTTACTAAATATCTTCATGGAACATGATCTTTACTTAATATCCTAATGATTTTTGGCATAAAAGAGAAATGTGTAATTTTGACCCATACAATGTATTGTTGGCTATTGCTACAAATATCCCCCAGCGACTTAACACTGCTTTTGTGCTCCAGGGACACGTATCGTCGCAATCCTATGTTTATTCTCTTCAAGCTTCCTCAGTTAAAATTTCTCTATCTGCGTTTTATTCAGCTACAGTGATAACTGGATACATTTGTCCATATTAGGGATTTCCTGGAGCGTCGTCAGTAGATGCATATGTGGATTTTATGTGCAACATAAAGTTTCAGTGGGCAGAATTGATGCATCACTATATATTATGATTCGTATTGATGCCATGATATGGATTGGCTCGTACAGTGATGCACGCTTGCGGTCACGCCGCCCAGTCCTGGTGTTTCATGGTTTGTGTGTGTTGATGTGTGCATGCCGCCCTCTCTCCCCAGCTCAGCCCAATAGCGTTCTCTCAGGAAGCCACTGCAGCGATGGTCTGCTGCAGATTGCCTCTGGGACGGGGCAGGGCTCACAGCAGAATGGCTTCCCCCCCGGCCAGCCCTCCACGTACCATCACAGTAAGCCATCAGTGAAGCTCCACCCAGCAGCTCCACCTAGAGTCCGAAAGCTTTTCAGCATCTCCTGCATTCAGTATCCAGAGCACGAGTAAACCTGATGTCCGGTGTCAGACGTGCACTCTCTGCTCTTCTGTCCACAGACACCAGCTCCAGCTGGACGAGGAACAGTAACTTCACCCCCACTGTGCCTCACCATCAGAACGGCCATCTACAGCATCACCCGCCCATGACCCATCCAGCACACTACTGTGAGTGTCTCACCTCAGCCGGAACATAGCATAGAAACACACTGAGCTCCAGTCTAGAGCTTCACAAACGGCCTTCTGGATGTTATAATGAAGAAGGTGCAAGAGGCTGTGCCGCCACATCTGAAGCGTGCCGTTAAGCACAGTGACTATAATAGGAATAATTACAATTTAGAAAAATTAAAATACAAGGCACAGAATTTCTGATAAAAAGAAAACGATTCATAGGGCCTTATTATTGTTAATAAAATTATATATATGTATATATATATATATATATATATGTGTGAACCTGGACCACAAAATCAGGTTCTTAGCAATGCATATTACTAATCAAAAATTACGTTTTGATATATTTACGGTAGGAGATTTACAAAATATCTTCATGGAACTTGATCTTTACGTAATATCCGTTTCTATCGGAATTTTTTACAGAAAAAATGGACCCTTATGACTGGTTTTGTGCTCCAGGGTCACATTTTATTTTAAATGCCATTGATGTGAATTGCAAACATTGCGATTGTGTTTTAAAATACAACTACGAGCACCACGATACCATTTAAATAAGACGATCTCCATGGACTCAATCTGTTTTGTTTTCTCCTCAGGGCCCGTTCACAACGAAATCACGTTCCAGCCACCGATATCCAACCACCCTGGTAAGAGTTTAATTCTGTTACGATCTCATTTCGGTCGTGTTCGGATGTCTAATGATCCCCTGATCTCGGGCAGCTCCAGAGTACTGGTGCTCCATCGCTTACTTTGAGATGGACGTTCAAGTGGGCGAGACCTTTAAGGTTCCCTCGTCCTGTCCGATCGTGACCGTCGACGGGTACGTGGACCCCTCCGGAGGAGATCGCTTCTGCCTCGGCCAGCTCAGCAACGTCCACCGAACGGAGGCCATCGAGAGAGCGAGGTACAGCTGACACAGTCATCACGATTAAACTGATGATTATTATTAGGGGTGGGAATCTTCAGGCACTTCACCATCCGATTCCTCCTTCTGCTGTGCAGTTTACAACTTAATATTTTAGACAAAATTGCCGTTTGTGTGCTTTTTGTTTATAGTTGGAATCTCTGTACGTGACCCTGGAGCACAAAACCAGTCATAAGGGTCAATTTTTTCGAATAAATAAGCTTTCCATTGATTTATTAGGATCGGACAATATTTGGCTGAGATGCAACTATTTGAAAATCTGGAATCTGAGGGTGCAAAAAAATCTAAATATTGAGAAAATCATCTTTAAAGTTGTCCAAATGAAGGTCTTAGCAATGCATATTATTTATTTAAAATTTATATACAAGCATGCTACTTTTTAAAACAATTACTTATTTAAAATGTGTTCTTTCTGTATCTGAACGTTTACAGACAATCATAGTTACGGGTTTTTCCTCCGCATTATTGCTGTTTGATTATTACTGATGAGATCACAGCTTTAATAGACTAACGCACAGATCTGTTTCCACGTATCAGATGTTTTGTCCTGCTCTGAAAACATAACTGACTGTGTTTACATCAATTCCATAATCAGTACTGCCGTCTTAAAAATAGGGGTGTGAATCTTCACCGGTTTCACATTCAATTATCATTATCAACTCAATCTCACGTTTTCAATTTTACGGCACCTGGCTACATTTTCATATACATTTTAAATCAAATTAATTTTGTTAAATTAACTTTTTTAAAATTTATATACAAGCATGCTACTTTTTAAAACAATTACTTATTTAAAATGTGTTCTTTCTGTATCTGAACGTTTACAGACAATCATAGTTACGGGTTTTTCCTCCGCATTATTGCTGTTTGATTATTACTGATGAGATCACAGCTTTAATAGACTAATGCACAGATCTGTTTCCTCGTATCAGATGTTTTGTCCTGCTCTGAAAACATAACTGACTGTGTTTACATCAATTCCATATGAAAGTATTCGGAGATGCAAGTGCATTTAACCGGAGCCGCGATCGCGCTTCATGACTAACACAAAACGCAGGTGAAAGTCTGTCAGTACGTGAGTTGCGTGCATCTAATAGTACTGCAATGCACACACGTCTCACAGCGCAGATTCTGTGCAATGAAGCCCGCCCGCCGAGATTGTCTCTAGTGCACTTCAAATACAGAGCGGCACAAAGCTCTTATGTGCATCCCGTGCACAGACTGATGCACTTGAAGCAACACGGAGTCACAGCGCGCAGCATAGAGAAGTTCAAAGCACAAAGTGAAGAGATATTGATGCGTAGTGTATTAAATCTATGCGTTAGTTTGAGCCAGATTTAAATTTCAGTCACTGTGCTCGTGAAGAACAATTCATAGTGCTCTCTACTCCAGTGTTGTGATCTAACAGACACCCGGCAGAAATTAACACGATTTAGAAACAGCGCTAAACTCCAGCAAGTATAATATTAGGAACATTTAATAATCTTGGAGAGAGTTTTATCGTCTTGACTGTCGTAACCGAAAGCGACACGCAGATTGAATTAGAGGTGTGCTATATTATACCGTCCATGATAACACCGGTATACATTTTTGCATGATAAAAAAATTGTCATATCGCGATATCAGTGATATAGCTGATGTATTTACTAGACATGCACCGAATGTTCGGAGGCCGAAAATAGCAAAAAAAAACCTGGACTGAAACTGTGTTACTCGTCAGTTGCTCAGTAACATTTTAATGAATTTTTACAAGGCATGTGACAGTGTGATGCGTGCATCTTCCCAAATTAGTAATGAGAATCATTCATAAATCTGCTGCTGTCAGCAAAAAGAAGCACTGAGGACTTCCTGCGGGTTTCCGCCAAAATAAAAGCTCCATCAGCATTCATAAATGTTAGTATTACTGTTGCTCTGTTAAATAAAATTTAAAAGACAATAATAATTACAACAGCTCTATTAATACATTTATTATAACATACACACATGGGATCTGTAATGTTTTCTAATGCTTAGCTAGGCTGTGTTTATTTGCATGCCTGATTCAAGACGACGATCTCAAAAATGGCCACAAAATATTATTTTACTAACTAACTAAAATTTATTAATTTTAAGTTAAATTGTGCTTTGTTGGTATAACGTCTGCTAGAATGTTAAAAAGTGTTAAATAAGCATTTTTAAATTGTTTTGTATTAGTGTACAATGTTTTAAAATAATTTATTCCGTGTAGTGTTCATTTCATTCATTTAACATTTAATATTGAAGGCATCCAAGTTATTTGACACATTTGAAACTTAAAAAAAAATTTTTTTTTAATACTTTTCCCTGGTAATTGGTTACTTTTATAATGATGTAACTCCGTTATTTGTGAGAAGTACCAAGTAATTATAACTACTTACACTGGTCACTACTATTGCACTATAATGCTGCTTCTGCCACAATAGATTTACACTTGAATCAGTTAGTCTGTCATCAATGACAGTAGCTCATTAGAAAAGGATGGAAAATGCCCTTCATTGTGTTTGCACTAATACATGCTGCTGCAATCACCAATACAGTGTTCCCTATTTTTTTCTATATCTGATTATTGATTATTGGGCTTGATCTGATGTGTTTGCGTGCCTGTTTTCAGACTGCACATCGGGAAGGGCGTCCAGCTGGAGTGTAAAGGTGAAGGCGATGTTTGGGTTCGCTGTCTGAGCGATCACGCCGTCTTCGTCCAGAGCTACTACTTGGATCGTGAAGCCGGCCGCGCTCCTGGAGACGCCGTGCACAAGATCTACCCCAGCGCATACATCAAGGTTAGAACGAGAAGGACGTCTGATGTTGAGAAGTGAGAAAATGAAGAAGAAATATTTGAGATATCTAGAAGCATTTTCACCACCATAAAATATCAGAAGTGGAGAAAACTCACAACTTAAGGCAAGCGGCTTCAGGACTTCAGCTTTGAGGATGCTTAATTTATGGAAAGACATTTAGTATAATTGAGATACAATTATAGTTTTTATTAATATTTTAAAATTGTGTGTGTGTGTGTGTATATATATATATATATATATATATATATACAACTTAAGGCAAGCGGCTTCAGGACTTCAGCTTTGAGGATGCTTAATTTATGGAAAGACATTTAGTATAATTGAGATACAATTATAGTTTTTATTAATATTTTAAAATTGTGTGTGTGTGTGTATATGTGTATATATATATATATATAAAAAATTTTTTCCTTAACTTTATTAATCCCACAAGGGGCAATTAAAGTAGGGTAGTAGCATCACACAACAACTTAATACAAACATAAGATATTACCTAGACAATACAAATAAATAAGTAAAAAACACAACCCAACATGCTTCATAATAAATTCCATACAACAACAACAACAAAAAAAAGAAGACTTTGAATTGTAAAAACGTAAAGCCTCTGGAACAAAAGTGAATTTATATCTATTAGATGAACATCTAATGCTTCTGAATCTTCTTCCAGAGGGCAATACCTCAAAGTAAACCTTCAAGGGGTGAGAGTCATCTCCCGAGTTTTCCGTAACATTTGTTGCTCGTAGAATTCTGCTAGACTCCGCAAAGGCACACCAATAATTTGAGCAAGTCCTAACTAAGGTCTGCAAACGATTCCTATTCCTAAGAGAGAGTGACGAGTACCAGCATAAAAAAGAAAAACTCAACACACTCTCAATAAAAGTAGTATAACAAGTTCTCAGTATGTTTTTGCGTACACCGAAGGAGTTCAATGTCCTAAGAGCGTACATTCTTTGATTCACTTTCTTAATAATGGCCTCTGTGTTCTGCTGGAACTTTAAGGTAGTATCAAAGGTAGTTCCAAGATATTAGATGAACATCTAATGCTTCTGAATCTTCTTCCAGAGGGCAATACCTCAAAGTAAACCTTCAAGGGGTGAGAGTCATCTCCCGAGTTTTCCGTAACATTTGTTGCTCGTAGAATTCTGCTAGACTCCGCAAAGGCACACCAATAATTTGAGCAAGTCCTAACTAAGGTCTGCAAACGATTCCTATTCCTAAGAGAGAGTGACGAGTACCAGCATAAAAAAGAAAAACTCAACACACTCTCAATAAAAGTAGTATAACAAGTTCTCAGTATGTTTTTGCGTACACCGAAGGAGTTCAATGTCCTAAGAGCGTACATTCTTTGATTCACTTTCTTAATAATGGCCTCTGTGTTCTGCTGGAACTTTAAGGTAGTATCAAAGGTAGTTCCAAGACACTTGTACTCCTGTGCCCTTTCAACTTCTTTTCCATTAAGATGCACAGGTTTCACCTTTTGAGGCGTTTTTTCTAAAATCAATTACCATCTCTTTCGTTTTAGTAATATTCAGTTGTAGTTCAGCTTCTCTGCACCACTCAAAGCACTCGTTGTGATCATTACTGTCATCACATTCTGCACTCGTTAACAAAGATAGAATAACTGTGTCATCAGCATATTTAACTACATGAGTTATCCTTAGTGCTGCGACATTCAGAATTGAGAATTGAAAAGAGAATTGAAGACCGTACGCACCCCTGAGGAGATCCAATTGATGTAACAAGCGTATCGGACAACACTCCATTCAACATGACTCTTTGCTGCCTACGTGTCAAAAAATCTAGGATCCATAAAACTGAGTCGTGACTCACTTCAAATTCACATACAAGTTTCTTCGCTAAAATAATAGGATTCATTGTGTGAAACGCAGAGGAAAAATCAACAAACGGCATTCTAGCAAATATGCATCTAAATGTTGATGTATGGTATTTAAGAGTCCACACCTCTTGTAGTGCGATATGCAAACTGCAAGGAATCTAACGTATGACCCGTAGCTGTGATAAGTTGTGACTTAACTTCCCTCTCTAAGGCTTTCATAGCTAAAGAAGTTAATGCAATGGGCCGCAAATCGTTAAAAGAATGTGAGTTCTCTCGCTTAGGAATAGGTATTATGTTAGAGGTTTTCCATAAGCAAGGAACTACAGCTTGATTCAGGGATGCCTGACACAGTGAGTGAAACACAACACTGAGCTGCTCTGCAGTGTTTAAGTGTTCTCCCACAGATGCCGTCTGGACCAGGCGCTTTGTTAACAGGCGTAGCTTTCAGCTGCTTCATTACATTAAAAAGATGCAAATTCAAGGAGGTAGAGGGGCTCAGTTTTTGTTTAAAATCATCAAAAGCAGCACTTGTGTCATGCTTCTCAAAACGTGTAAAAAACTAATTCAGGTCATTGACCGATAGATTACCGTCAACGTCCTTATTTACCACCGTTCCTTGCTTTGGTATACTAATATCCGCCATGTTCTTAATCCCGCGCCAGACAGCCCTCACATCACCTTGAACAAAATTATTTTCTATTTAGTTTTTGTAGTTTAGTTTAGCACGTCTGATTGTTCTTTTAACCTCCTTATTGATCATTTTTTTCTCCTTATTGGACCCTGATAAGAATACTCTTTTCTTCATATTAAGAATATTTTTTAGCTCTTTGGTGACCCACGGTTTGTTGTTTGGAAACACAGTAAGACTTTTAGTAGGTATAATCGACTCAACACAAAAATTAATGTAACTGGATACTACAAGAACCTGATCATTCAAGTCTAAATTATCACTTAAAAACAAGTCCCAGTTCGTAAGCTCAAAGCAACTTTGCAGCTCTCTGATGCTTGTGTCAGTCCAGTTGCACATGAGACATACTGATGGCATCCTTTTAAAACATTGTCCAAATAGCACTGATTAAAATCACCTAGAATAAACTTGGGAGAGTCTGGAGATTTGGCGTCTAGTTTGTCCAAAGTTTTCATCAGCACGTCTGAGGCTATGTCCAATTTTGTGCGAGGATGAATAAAAATATACCCCAGCAACTTAAGACTGCTTTTGTGCTCCAGGGACACATATGTCATGTATGTGTGTGTGTGTGTGTATATATATATATATACAGTGGGTACGGAAAGTATTCAGACCCCCTTAAAATTTTCACTCTTAACAATATTGCAGCCATTTGCTAAAATCATTCAAGTTAAGCTTTTTTCCTCATTAATGTACACACAGCACCCCATATTGACAGAAAAACACAGAATTGTTGACATTTTTGCAGATTTATTAAAAAAGAAAAACTGAAATATCACATGGTCCTAAGTATTCAGACCCTTTGCTGTGACACTCATATATTTAACTCAGGGGCTGTCCATTTCTTCTGATCAGCCTTGAGATGGTTCTACACCTTCATTCGAGTCCAGCTGTGTTTGATTATACTGATTGGACTTGATTAGCAAAGCCACACACCTGTCTATATAAGACCTTACAGCTCACAGTGCATGTCAGAACAAATGAGAATCATGAGGTCAAAGGAACCGCCTGAAGAGCTCAGACACAGAATTGTGGCAAGGCACAGATCTGGCCAAGGTTACAAAAAAAATTTCTGCTGCACTTAAGGTTCCTAAGAGCACAGTGGCCTCCATAATCCTTAAATGGAAGACGTGTGAGACGACCAGAACCAACCTCCTTATTGATCATTTTTTTCTCCTTATTGGACCCTGATAAGAATACTCTTTTCTTCATATTAAGAATATTTTTTAGCTCTTTGGTGACCCACGGTTTGTTGTTTGGAAACACAGTAAGACTTTTAGTAGGTATAATCGACTCAACACAAAAATTAATGTAACTGGATACTACAAGAACCTGATCATTCAAGTCTAAATTATCACTTAAAAACAAGTCCCAGTTCGTAAGCTCAAAGCAACTTTGCAGCTCTCTGATGCTTGTGTCAGTCCAGTTGCACATGAGACATACTGATGGCATCCTTTTAAAACATTGTCCAAATAGCACTGATTAAAATCACCTAGAATAAACTTGGGAGAGTCTGGAGATTTGGCGTCTAGTTTGTCCAAAGTTTTCATCAGCACGTCTGAGGCTATGTCCAATTTTGTGCGAGGATGAATAAAAATATACCCCAGCAACTTAAGACTGCTTTTGTGCTCCAGGGACACATATGTCATGTATGTGTGTGTGTGTGTCACATACAAAGAAAACAAGTAGATAGAATAGAAAAAGAATATAGAAGGCTAGTGTTAGTTTTTTTTTTTTTTTTTTTAAGAAAAACAAGTAGTTAGAAAAAGAATAGAGAGTGCAAGTGATAGAGGGTCAAGTGTTTAAAAAAAAAAAATAGATCAAATAGAATTAGAATAGAGGGGGTTAGAGTTAGAGGGGCAAATAAAGGTGGAAGAGATGTGTTTTTAGTCGTTTCTTGAAGATGGGTAAGGACTCAGCTGCTGGGATTGAGTTGGGCAGGTCATTCCACCAGGAGGGAACAGTTAATGTAAAAGTCTGTGAAAGTGATTTTGTGTCTCTTTGAGATGAAACGATAAAGCGCCGCTCACTTGCAGAACACAAGCTTCTAGAGGCACATAACTCTGAAGCAATGAATTTAGGTAAAGGGGTGCAGAGCCAGTGCTGGGTTTGTAGGCAAACATTAATGCCTTGAATAATTATAATATTAATATAATTGTATCAAGTATACTAAATGTCTTTCCATAAATTAAACTTTCTCTGAAGTCCTGAAGCGGGTTGCCATATACTGAATAAAGCGCCGTTCACTTGCAGAACGCAAGCTTCTATAGGCACATAAGTCTGAAGCAATGAATTTAGGTAAAGGGGTGCAGAGCCAGTGCTGGGTTTGTAGGCAAACATTAATGCCTTGAATAATTATAATATTAATATAATTGTATCAAGTATACTAAATGTCTTTCCATAAATTAAACTTTCTCTGAAGTCCTGAAGCGGGTTGCCATATACTGTATATATTTTTTTTTAATTTAAGTTTAAGTTCTAGTAATTTTGTCTGTTTTTGTAATTTTTATTATTTTGATGTTTTTTATTACTTTTATTCTTTATATTTGTAAATATATGTATATAGCTTTTAATAATGTTAATTTTAGTGTCTTTAGTACATCAAGTTGAACAAAATTAAATTCAGACATTTTTAAAATAAACGAACTGAAATAATATATTTTATTTCAAGTAACTAATTTTGAATGTTTTTTTTAGTTTCGGATTTAGTTAACAGTACTGACACTGGTATCAGATTATCCGTTAAAAAGGGTCTGTGCCTTCCTCAATCTTAACAAGTTCTTTAAACTCAAAAATTATGTTTTTTACTTGTGGATCCAAGATCAGTAAGCTAAGCTTTTTTAAGCCATTACATTATAGAGATGTAGTAGTTTCTTTAACTTGTGTATCAGTTTGTGAAAAGGTTATATATGTGTATATACTAACACGAACACACTTGACATTGCGCATCTGAAGTTGAAGCCGCAGCTCCTGCTCTGTCCTGCAGGTGTTTGATCTGCGTCAGTGCCACAGACAGATGCAGCAGCAGGCGGCGACAGCACAAGCAGCGGCGGCCGCTCAAGCAGCAGCGGTGGCCGGAAACATCCCCGGCCCCGGATCCGTGGGAGGAATCGCTCCTGCTATCAGTAAGTGCTCCTACCGCTTACACGCCAGACATCTGAGTCTCATACCTGCAAACCTGTCGCCTTAATAGTTCATATGAATTGTGCAAAAACGTATTTGAACTGTATAGTTGCTTAAATCGCAGATTTGAATAGAACAGACATAGACATTTAATAGCATAGACATTGGTGTTGTTTCAAAACAAAGTTGCTACCTAGACAAGTGTAGTTCTATTGTAATAATCAGAATTTTTCACAGGATGATTTCTGCTGAGGTAGCATTATGTATGGAAGCTTGTTTCTACCACGGAAAACAAAAAAATAAAGGTAGCTGTGACTTCGAATTAAATTCTTTTCTTTTTTTTTTGCAGTCGCAAGTTTATATCATGTTTTTCCTCAGAATTGCACGTTTATATTTAGCAATTGCAAGTTATGCTTTTGAAATTGAGCTGTTTTTCAGAATTCTGAGTTTATATCTCGATATTTTCACTGTCTTTTTTTTCTGAATTCTATGTTTTTCTCTCCCGATTTTTCTTTTTTCCCCTCTGAATTCTGAGCTTACATCTTGCAATTTTTACTTTTTTCCCCTGGCGATTCTGATTTTTATATATAAAATTTTTTCCCAGAATTCTTAGTTTACATATTGCAATGTTTTTTCTTTGATTTAATGAGTTTCTATCTTGCAATTTAATTTTTATATATAATTATAAATATTTTTTTTATTTTTTCTGACACAGAATATAAAAAAAGTTACCTGCAACTTTTTCTCTCACAAATCTCGTTTGTTTAACTGTGAATTTATCTCTCAATTATGACTTTTTTCCTGAGAATTGTTTTATAAAATTTTACATCCTGCAATTTTTACTTTATTCTTAGAATTCTGAGTTTACATCATACAATTCTGACTTTTTCTCTCAGGATTGTAGAAAAAAAAAGTCAGAATTGTGTGAGAAACTCAGAATTGTAAGGAACAAAATTAAGAATAGTGCAGTTAAAAAGTCACATTTACTTTTTAAACATTTTATTGCGTGGCCGAAACAAGCTTCCATAGTTCTGAATCTGTTTTGGTGTAAAGTGCATCATGTGGTCACTAGGTCTGTCAAAGTAGTTGAAAAACTAAATTTGAATTTTGTACTTAAATATATTCGAATATAATAGGCATAATTTCGGTTAGTGGGGAAAAATATTTTGGCTTCTCTCCTGAAGCCACAAGAGGGCGCATCGAGCAAAATATTACTAATGCACGTTTCTTCAAAGCAATAAAATAACACGACTATCTTTGGGAAAAAAGTGCATAATGTTTAAATTAATGTTTATAAACCATATGTAATTAATTTGCTTAAACAATTAGAAGCAAAACAGCATCATGTATGTATAGTTTTAATACAAAGGACCGAAAACCAATCACAAAGAGTGCTTTCTTTATTTAAAAACATGAGATGCAGTGGGATGGGGAAAACCGTCATAAAGTCTCGAGACATGTTTTTTAAAAGTTAAACTTGCGTTCATTTTACATGACTTTCTAAACATGCGGCTCTCTTGTGCGAGACGCGAGTGCAGCGGTGATAGATGTCCCTCTAGAAAATGCGTGAAATATGTGTTCTGTGTGAACGGCTTGTTTCAGTTTGGATGTAAACAGCATCATCTCCGCATTAATGTTCTCATTTTCCGCAATATTTTGAATGAACAACGCAGCAGCGCCGCATCTAGTGCCTTCAACTGGATAAGCTAACAAAAACATTCAAATGCAACGACACTTACATCGTCATCGCATCTGGTGCGCCGCTGATAAAGCTGTCTGACGCACACCTAACATTCAAATGCAACATTTTTGCATTCGAATGTGGATTTTTATTTTAAATTTGACGAATATTTGAAATTCTAATTTTCTTTTGACAGCCCTAGTGGTCACATGTTATCATAGATTTACCGAAGTATCAATCGCTCATGTAGGTTTGTCTGCGGCCGCTGGCATCGGTGTGGACGACCTCCGCCGGCTCTGCATCCTGCGCATGAGCTTCGTCAAGGGCTGGGGTCCCGATTACCCCCGACAGAGCATCAAAGAGACGCCCTGCTGGATCGAGATCCACCTGCACCGCGCGCTGCAGCTGCTGGACGAGGTCCTGCACACCATGCCCATCGCCGACCCCACGCCGCTGGACTGAGATCAGCCTCCGACAAACCCAGTACCGCCAAACTGTGCGAACGATGCAGAGTCAACGCCACACAGATCTACACGGCTGCATTTACTTCATTAGTTTTTGCCTGTGTTGCATTTGTTCTTGTAACATTCAGACCTTGTAGTGCACAGGACCCAGTGTTATATATCTATATGCAAAAGTGTTTTGCATGAAGATGATGCGCGTTTGCCAGCTCTGCAGAGGTGCATGCTGGGATTCGGTTGAGTCTTCAAAAGCTGTTTAAATGAATATGTTCCCAGACATTTGCTTCATGCTGTTGCTTCACTAGCCACTAGAGTCTGCCATTATGTCTAAATGATGCCATTTTCAGTCAGACTGGTCTTATTTTTGTTTTGTTTTGATCATCATCTCTTAATGCAAACCAGTCTCTCAGGCCAGACGTTTGTGGTCTGGAAGTATGATGGAAATCATGTGGCGTTTCCTTTCTCTTGAGTTGCAGTGTTTGGGTTAAAGTGGTTTGGACTCGCAGTCGTATTAGCAGGTGTTGCATGTACAGAAGACATGCGTTTTCTTTCGAGCTTCTCACTAATTGGCTTGACTTTAATTATTTTTTTTGCAAGTTTCTCACTGCGTCCTGCTGACATAATCATAGCAAGACGTATTAACGGTTCATCCAAACTCGTACACGCACGAGCATTAACAGCCGGCTTTGTTCTGAATGCCTTTTCTTTTCTTTCGGCCGTGTACTTGTTCTAGCACTGTATGCATGTTTATTTTTCTTTCCATCTTTCAGTTTCTCTTCTTTGCAGCCTGTGAATAAAAATGTTCTGCAGCTCTTTTACAGAAAAACAAATTGGCCTCAGTGCGAGGACGTGTGTGGTTTAACTGAATGGTTTGCCCAAAAATGAAAACTAGCTGAAAATGTACACCCCCTCAGATGAGGATGAGTTTTTCTTCGTCAGGTTTGGAGAAATGTAGCACTGCATCAGTGTCTCAGCAATGGATGCTCTGCAGTGAATGGGTGCCGTCAGAATGAGAGTCCAAACAGCTGATAAAAACATCACAATAATCCTCACCACTCCAGTCCATCAGTTAACATCTGGAGAAGACAAAAGCTGTTATGTTTAGAGCTGTTTAAACGCTGCTTGATCTGTGCAGATTTCTCTCCTGATTCACACCAGAACACTGACTCACTGGAGGAAGAGTTATTATGGATTATGAACTCAATGTATTTTAGTTAAAAGCATCTTAATGCTGGATGTGTTTCAGCTTTCTTCAAAAGCTGTTTAAATGAATATGTTCCCAGACATTTGCTTCATGCTGTTGCTTCACTAGCCACTAGAGTCTGCCATTATGTCTAAATGATGCCATTTTCAGTCAGACTGGTCTTATTTTTGTTTTGTTTTGATCATCATCTCTTAATGCAAACCAGTCTCTCAGGCCAGACGTTTGTGGTCTGGAAGTATGATGGAAATCATGTGGCGTTTCCTTTCTCTTGAGTTGCAGTGTTTGGGTTAAAGTGGTTTGGACTCGCAGTCGTATTAGCAGGTGTTGCATGTACAGAAGACATGCGTTTTCTTTCGAGCTTCTCACTAATTGGCTTGACTTTAATTATTTTTTTTGCAAGTTTCTCACTGCGTCCTGCTGACATAATCATAGCAAGACGTATTAACGGTTCATCCAAACTCGTACACGCACGAGCATTAACAGCCGGCTTTGTTCTGAATGCCTTTTCTTTTCTTTCGGCCGTGTACTTGTTCTAGCACTGTATGCATGTTTATTTTTCTTTCCATCTTTCAGTTTCTCTTCTTTGCAGCCTGTGAATAAAAATGTTCTGCAGCTCTTTTACAGAAAAACAAATTGGCCTCAGTGCGAGGACGTGTGTGGTTTAACTGAATGGTTTGCCCAAAAATGAAAACTAGCTGAAAATGTACACCCCCTCAGATTAGGATGAGTTTGTTTCTTCGTCAGGTTTGGAGAAATGTAGCACTGCATCAGTGTCTCAGCAATGGGTGCCGTCAGAATGAGAGTCCAAACAGCTGATAAAAACATCACAATAATCCACAGCACTCCAGTCCATCAGTTAACATCTGGAGAAGACAAAATCTGTTAAGTTTAGAGCTGTTTAAACGCTGCTTGATCTGTGCAGATTTCTCTCCTGATTCACACCAGAACACTGACTCACTGGAGGAAGAGTTATTATGGATTATGAACTCAATGTATTTTAGTTAAAAGCATCTTAATGCTGGATGTGTTTCAGCTTTGGTCTTCTCCAGATGTTCACTGATGGACTGGAGTGCTGTGGATTATTGTGATGTTTTTATCAGCTCTCATTCTGACGGCACCCATTCACTTGCAGTGAGACACTGATGCAATGCTGCATTTCTCCAGATCTGATGAAGACACAAACTCATCCACATCTCGGATAGACTGAGGAAATTTTCATTTTCAGGTGAACTGTTCCTTTAATGCGGTTTCGCAGCTGATTGACTGGTCAAAGGTCACAAGGGCTGCGTTTGATCTGTGTCTAAAGATCCTTTTACAGGAAACTGAGGAATTCATACTTTTATACCATTAATCTCTGTTTTTAGAGCACACATCATGTCCCCTCTGATGCCCGAGTATATCAGTTATTAATGATGGTCATGTATGGATATGAGATGAACCGGAACGGTGTGTTTTGATGTGAACGTTGAAAGCCATATGAAATGAACCTTACGGGAAATAAGAAGTCAGTGTTATTCAGCGCTTGAGCTTACTCTTTTAGACAATCATGTCAGCCTTGCATGTCTGGGAGTGAGTTTAGACGACAGATCAATACTTCTGTTAAGCCTGAGTTTATATTCTGTTTGAGAAGAAATAGGAAAGTTCTGAATGAGAAGAGCGCGCTTGTGGGAGCATTTCCTCAAATAGCTCATATTATTAGCAGTTTATCAAATACAGTATAATATGAAGTTGATTTTGAAGTCTTGTGTATTTCATATTTAGTCATCTTCACAGAAATGTGTTTGCACTTGTGCTTTCAATATCATAAATAAAAAATAATCATAAATATTGCAACCCATTTGCAAGTAAAACAGGATATGTTTAGTCTAGATTTAATCCGTCAGGAATTGATTTGATCCTGAAAAGTGTTAGAAAAAGAAATACTTATCAGGCTGCTGGTTAACATTAACCAGTTTCAGAGCATTACATTGACATTGTTGTGTAATTAAACAGCACTTATGTTTAATTTGTAATAATATGCACTGATGACCATAACATCAGTGAACATAAACTAAGAAAATATTCACTAAAAATAAAATTTCATAGATTTTGATTACATGCATAGGTTTAGACATTCTTTGGATAATGTTAGAGTTTGAGATAACACAGACTTAGTTCATGTTTTTAAAAATCCGTCACTGTATGTGTAATGAAACGCTCATTAAATCTTCATCTTACATTATTACATATGCATTTATGTGTAAAGATGTTTTGTAATGATACGATCCTGTTCGTTTCTCCATGTTGACTAATATGCATACAATTAGCATTAACATTATGATGGTTTGTGATGTACGTCTCCAAATTAATATTCATGTAGTGGGCGTGGCCTATTTCAACAGGTTGTCGCTCATTAAGAAATGCTGAACTACAAACATGGAGGCCTCTTTTATTAATTAAGGTAAAAACACAAAGTCAACTGATATTAAACGGTGATGTACCTCTTGACGAAAACGTTTAAATAGATCTGAAGAGACTATATATTATATTGGCTGCTATATTCGTATTTTTATCTTATGGAACTGGTCAATTCGGGTTAAAGTTGTCTTTTTTTAAAATTTTTTTATTACTTATAGTTGCGTCGCGAAACGGTACAGTTTGCTATTCGGAACTAATGTGCTTCCTCCTGATTAATTTTAGGAAACCTTAATTAACCTTAAAACAAACGTCACGGATGAATCTGTGGTGAAACAAAGACACGCCCCCCAAAAAATAGGCATTGAAAAATGAGCTCGGCAACATTTTCGTCATAGAATTTATCCTCTCGGGTAAATAAAAACAAATCGTTTCCACATTTGATCTCTTCATTGCGATTAATCCCACCTAACATTAAAGTTTTTAAATATACTATTTAATGGCATCTTTTTTTTGCATGACTGAAGGCCAGTATCACTGAGAAATTGTTCTCTATAAAATAGTTTTTCACCCTAATATTTAACCATTGACTAGCCAATCAACATTACAGTGTAGAGCTATCAATTCTAACATTTATTAGACTTTAAAAAATAACTTCTAATATAAGTGAACAAAACAATCTTCACATAAACGTATTATAATAAATGTCATATTTAGCTACCTGTACTCTTCATATAGAAATGCATAGAAATATACAGAAATTAAAGTTATTAAATTCTAAATTAAATAGATGAATCCTTAAAGCTATAAAAGTTATTGATTTCTCCTTTGATTAACAGACATAACAGCAGCTGGTTATTAGTTTATTTCAGCTGCTATAACTTTAAGAGCTTTAATTTTGACAACTTATGAAACTTGACACTCATCAATTACATAGATTATATATATTGATGCTGTCAAAATTTTATATATATATATATAAATCATAAATCTTCGAATATATGAATTACTGTAAAAAATATTGTCCTGGTTTTTACACAAAATATTGAAGCAACTGTTTGCGTTTGGAGTATTTTGAATTTAAAAAGTTGTGTGTGTTTGTATGCATATATATCATTTAATAATATTAATATTGTCTTGGTTTTATCAACAAAAAATTGCATTCGACTTTTGAGTATTTTGAACTGTATTTGACCAATTAGACACCCTTAAGTTATGTCAACAATTCTCCATGTAAACCGAATATATCAATTAAATTAAAGAACATTATAAGTATTGCTTTTTGAGTAAAGCAATAGCTTTCAGGCTCTAATCACCAAAACCCAGATATAACTCGTTTGCTCTTCTAAATCCAACACTAAAAGAACATGAACAAACCTCCTCTTTAATGCATCTTGCTCAAAAACATAATTTCGAATGTTCTTAGAAAAGTCCCATTCAAAGCATGCGTCCCGATTTCTATTTGCACACACACACAACGTGTGACAAAACGTTCAACAATTGTTTTGCATTCGCTCATTTAAATTTAAGCAATTTGAGCAAGCAGCAAAAATGCAAAAAAAACGATTCGTCTAAAAGTGAGCAGTTTGCATAATTGCAGGAATGTTTAAACAAAACCCCTTCAGCGCTTCAGAGTCAAGCCAACAAATGAAGAGTTTACTTTTCTTTTCTTTAGAATTTACAACACCGCTCGGTATTTAAAAAAAATATTTATCATTAAATTAAAGAATTTTCTGCAGGGGTCATTTTTCAACCTGATGTAAATACAATTACAGAACTTACCAGCAGAATAACAGCATGCATTTATGTTGCATTTTACTTTGTCACTGTATGAAAAAAAGTGCTAGTGTTTCTCCCGATTCTTCATCATCTACGCTCCACAGACAAAACAACAGCGTTCAGGTTTGGAGCGCCGTGAGGGTGACTCATTGTTGCGACAGCCAACACAACAAGGCCTCGTTTCAACAAGAAAAGGTT